TTCATAATAGAGTTGGTCGATAGATAAGCTCAGTATACAAAAGAGGATGAAGGCGAGAAAAGTAAGATAGGAACGAAGAGTAAAATCAGGTCAACATTTTTGGCTACTGACTAGAATGTTTACTTTATCTTTATAAAACAAAATCAAAAATTGAAGAAAATTAGGACAATATTACTGTTACTACTATTTTGAAAAAGATAATATTGAGAAAAAATTCAACAAAAACGATGGCCTACATGAAGGGTGCTGTTTGTGGTGAATTTTTTTGTTGGTGGACGTTTCAGTGTCATGTCACATTGAGAGGTTCAATGATAGCCTGAATAACTATTTGGGTATCATCATAGTGTTTAGCAGATTTTTAGTGGTTGGGTGGTTTATTCAATCCTGAATATTCTTTGACTAAATTTCTTTTCGTGCATTTTACTTGTACAACTGTTTTATCAGGGAGGACGACACAATCTATATTTTACGCCAAAAGCCTAGTTAATACCACTTGGTAACTTCTACAGTTCAAAGTAACCAGTGAAAGAAAGGGCATGAAAGGAATTTTTAGTCAGGGTGGGTGGTCATCTTATTTTATAGATGTAACTATAGGGATCATACAAATGACAGACATGACTCGATATTCTCGGAGTGAACCATATTCATATTCCTAACATTGGGAAGCAATTGTTCCTAGCGAGACAGTACTTACAATTCACGTAATTTGATAAATATAAACACATGACGTCATATTACTGACACACAGAAACCTAATGTTGATCACACCAATACATGGTACGAATCAATTGAGTCATGTAATTGGTTCGAAAACTTTCGCTGATGCGGTACAACCTCAGTAGCAGCGTCGATATCCATTAATACCTTGTTTTCTTGTAAAGGCTAAATATACTTTTCTTCTTCAGGCTGTTTCCCATTGATGATGATTTCATTGTGTACCTTTACCTGTGGGTGAATTACTTTACAGTCTAAAAATCTACAGTGGTAAACGGTTGCAGCAGATCAAAAATTGTTTATCTTTTTAACTAATAGTCATAAATGCTGTAAAAAACTAAAACTCAGCCTAACAGATGATCAATAGTCTGATTAGCTTAAGTATTGTTTACTACCGGATTATTATATATATGGACAACAAGTAAGTATTACTTGTTTGAGGAATATATTAATGGGACGTTTGTAAGGATTCATTTATTTCACGATAATATTCATCTCAGACTGCTGACAGTTCGTGATGAATACTATTCTGAAATAGGATTTCTTTTAAATGCAATGAATAAATAAAAATCTGGTTACAATTTACTGAATGCTCATTCAAATAAACCTATTTGTAGCCAGAGTATAGCAATTATCAAAGTATGCTAAACCATTTTGTGCAAACAAATATCTACCCATTTTAAAGAGTGATCCGCTTCGCTTTGTGCTCATTAGTGAAACTGATTTCAACAAGATGAAGTAAGAATCGTGGTCATCATACTGTTTGTAAATGAGGATTTCTGCAACATCATTAATATACAAAGGTGTTAAGGTGAAAAAGAAACGAAAAGTGAAAACCATTCCGTCCACATATTTGAAATTTTTCTATGCAATCCTAGAGGAGTAAAGAAAAGAATGATTTTCTCAAGTACAACTCCAACTCTCACTCATCCCCATTCACTAACCACACTACTAATAATTACAGCTTTTAATCTAATTGAGTTCACACTTTTATTTCTTCATTGTTGTATTCTTGTTCTCAAAAGCAGCCTAAACTTTTTATCATAATATATCATTTTGCTTAAACCTTTCACCTTTCGTAATAAAGACAAGATGAAAATTCTGACGACCATGATGATAATGGTGACGGAATATTTAATCCAGTATTGGTATACACTGACAAACGTAAGATACAAAGACACATTCACATACTATCATTTATTATTTATTTGTAATTTACACCAAGTTTTAATCAAATGACCATTCTAAATTCATACTTTTTTCACACGTTTATGAATTAGGCACACATACACACACACACACACCTTTAAATGACGACACATTAAAAACGCTGCAGATAAATGCAGTCCCATCATCATCATCACCAAATGGATGTCCAGTTTGATTTCCGGACTCAATTTCAACTCATCTCATTGATACTAGTAAGTTATATTTAGTATGAATGAAAATGAAATGAAAGATTACAACCCATTTGAGAAGTTCAGATGACAAATATCAAATAGTGAGGGAAGGAAAAAAAAGAAGAAAACTGTTAGCATTCATATGGATGGTCGCTTGAATATGCTCACTTACAAATACACATACAAACAGATAGACACAGGGAGTACAAAGAACTGATAATGTTGACCCTATAGATAAGAGTAATAATAATGGTAATAGCAGTCAACCTATTACATATGCAGATGTAGACATGTATCACTGTAGAGTAAAATTGACCTCCGGATGTCAATTTAGGGTAGCTAGTTTATCAAAGGTGAAAAGAAGAAATAATTCGTGTAATAAAAATAACTTAAAACTCCTGGCAATTAAATTTTTGTTAAGATAACTAAATTTATGTCATTCTTACTGACTTAATCGCCCTATAGCAATGGTAAACCGTAGAGCTATGAAAAAATTAAATATATACAGGGATACAAAAATGCACAGAAGATTGTCCTGGCTTAAATGGAAACATGGACACTTTCTCAGAGATTGTCAGTGGATTTCAAGGATACATCGAAGTTGTTTCCATTTTGGTCTGAGCAATTCAGTTCATATATCAACTGACTCCTCCTACTTTGAAGTACACATAATGAGGGAATAGTATTTCACTAGATTAAGCGACCGAAAACTAATTATTAACTCACTGATTTTAACCTTACTTCAGTTATAAGTTTAGACAGCTATATTCCGTCATTAGTTAATGAATCCTAAAGAAGAGTTTCCTGTAGTGAGGATATTCCGTTTATGAATAGTCTTTCTTAAAATTGTACACAAACAGTTACCTGTAGGTGCTAATTTCTTTCATCTTTCAAACGGATATCAGTCGATTTTTTAAAGACAGCGGGAATTACAACTAAGTAGTTGGACAACTTATTTATGGTCTGCCCCATCATCCTGGAGAGAATAAAAAATGCTCTGGATTCAAAACTACAACCGGAACAGGCCGGCTGGCTGGCTGGCTTGAGGGAAAACAAATCATGTGAGGATCAAATTGCAACGCTACACTATGCATCATCATAGAAGAGAGTATAGAATGGCAGTCAACTCAACTCAACCTCATCTTCATCGACTTTGAAGAGGCCTTCGACAGCGTCAACCGGGAAGTATTTTGGCAGTCGCTTCAAAACTACGGTTTCAGTGCCACAAACCTTTATCAATCTCACTCAACAACTATATGAAGACGCCACATGCCAAGTAATTCACAATGGGAAGCTTAGTGACGCCTTCGAAGTGAAGACAGGAGATAGGAGTAAGACAAGGCTGTCACCTACCATCACTTATGATCTTCCTGATTGTGATCGACTGGATCATGCAGCAAACCATGAGGAGCTGTGAGAAGAGGGGCATACGCTGGGTGGACTGATGAAAGGACCCAGGAGAAGATTTGGATTTCGCCACCGATGATGATTTATGTCTGATGTCTTGTCATACAAACTCGAAGATCTACAGGCAGAAACCAACAAGTTGACACAAGAGGAGGAGGGAGACGAGACGAGGCAGCGAAGACGGGACTTCAGGTGAATGTAGAGAAGATGGAGGTGATGAGGATACTCAACCACCGCCGCCGCCACCACCACCACCACTAGCAACAACAACAACAACAACAAGAAGCACCAATCACCATGATTGGGAGAAACCTAAAAGAAGTTGTCTCTTTCACCTAACTAGTCAAGGCAGCATCGATTCAACTGCAGACGGTGGCGGCACAGATGAGGATGTCAAATCAGCCAGGATCGGAAAAACAGCAAGACAGGCCTTCCTTGCATTAATCTGAAATCAGTATGGAGATCTACTCCACTCCACTCCACTCCACTCAGCATGAATTGTGAGCAAGATCCAGATTTTCAACACTAATTCAGTCAGTAAGTCAATGCTTCTGTGTGATGGTTGAGAGACTTAGAGTGTTAGGTAAAGCATTTCCAACCAACTCCAAGCATTGATCAACAGCTGCCCCTTACGCTCACTCGATACTGAAGATGGAGATCAGATGGCCAGAATAATAAGAATGAGGGAGGAGGAACTCTGGCTGGCTGGCTGGCTTGCTGGCTGGCAACGAACCAGCGAAGCAAGAACCCATCGCCCAACAAATATGCAGTGGAAGAAAGTGGAGATGGATTGGATTTGGCATACACTGAGAAGGCTGATTGGGGACATCATGTGCCAGGCCAGACCCTGGAGTGGAAGCAAGATGGGAGACGACGAGTTGGGCGTCCGAGGTGAGGGTGACATGGAGGAGATGGTGTGAGGAAGAAATGAAAGCTTGTGGGCAGTTGTGTAGCGAGGTTGAAAAGACTAGAGAGAAGAGAATGGAATTGAGGCGTGCTACTGAAGCCCTATGTTCCACTTGGAACCAAGAGAATAAATATTTAAAATAATTCTCCTTTTATTTTACTCTGATACCCCCGATTAGTTTGAGGCCTTAAAAAAGTGCGGAGTATGAAATTGATTACTCCGATGGTTTATTGTCTAATTTTCTGACATGTATTGCTCTAATATGGTGAGCTTCTTTAATAGTGCATACATACTGCGTGGTTGAATGTATCTGTTAACCACTACGTCAATTCTCTGTGTTTCATCACCTGCTGTAAAAAGTTCGTGATCATAAGTACTATTAGGATTCTAAAACAGCAAGACCAAGGTAATTTCAAGATGATTTACTCTACAAAAGTATAAAATAATAAGAGGTTACTAAAACAAAATGGATTGTCATTCAAGCTTCAACTTCATTGACCGATCTTTTGCAACTCATTCAGTTTATTGAAAATAATAATAAATTAGTGAAATTCCTTGCGATGACTACTTACCTGAATGTTTTCGATAGTGTATTCTCAAGGCACTTGTACAGTTAAATTGTTTGTTACAAAAGTTGCATTTGCGTGCTTTACTGTCTGGTGTATTATTTGGTGAGCTGGGACGTCTTCTTTTCGATGAATTTAGACTTCCACTCAACGTGGAATCAGTTAAATTGCCACCAGCACTATAACCACCACCACAACCACCACCTTCAAAGTCACTAGAATAATTTTCACTTTCGATACCCAGAAGTCGTGAATTAGTCGATTTAAACGAATTCTCGGTTACACTGCTAACTAAACCAGATGACAAATTACCTTGACATGTTGATAAATTGAATGTTGACATAATCTTATCATGCTGATCAAGTGAATTTGTTGAAGATGACGTATTCATTGATATGTTAGGATCCAGTTCAGTAAAAAGTTGGCTCAGTGAACGATTCGGTTGTAATGGGTTGACCAATGCTCGATTTGTTAGGTCTAATTCTAAATTGCACGGCCATATTGAATTATTTGACAATACTGAAGTTTTTGATTCAAATAGTTAGATGAAGGATAAACACGATTTACTTGTGTTGGAGTTGTAGTTGTTGTTGCTGACGAAATTGTTAATGACAGTGATGATGCTGGAGATTTAGTCAATGAAGCAGGAGATATATTAGAAGCTTTATCAACGGTAAAATTCAAGGCATGCTCTTTTAACCCAACTGATGTTGTATCCATATCAAATAGTTTTTGTGTTAGATCATTTGAATGTGTCACAGGACGTGAGAAATTTGAATTATGTGCCCCAGTCATGTTGTTCAATAGTTTAGCAAAGTAGTTGGCATTAAATTCATTGATGCTACCTTGTGTATTATTTGAAGTACCATTGTTATTACTAGTTGGAATTGTATTCATAAGAGTGTTCAATAATTCTGGATTAGTGAGTGCCGCTGTCGCAGCCAGTAATGATGGGTTAGGTAATGACTGTCCTGGTGTATTGACCAGTAAAAACTGGCTGAGCGCTGCTACAATAGCAGCGGATGCGGCAGCTGCAGCTGCAGCAGCAGCCCCTGAATTGATATTATTTGAATTCAGTAATGAGACGTTTTCTAAAGTTGCGTTCGGCAGACGACTATCAAAGGTATACGTGTTTGAAGTTTCCGGTGTAGCTTTGTTTCTTTCCGTTGGATCAGATGACTTTAAGGAACAGTTTGTATTCATAAACGGAAAAGATAAGTTTGAAGTAAACCCGCCTAAGGATGATGCATTTGAATTGATATACAGTCCGGTAAGTGGATTAGGAAGTGGAGAAGATACGGTTCCTGATGGCAGTAGGTTAGCTGAAACAGGACATAGTTGGGCTTCTGAAAAACAAGTAATAAAGGAAATATGTCAGTTGAAACTTGTATTTTATAGTCAGTTTTCACGAAATATTAGATGTCTGATATCAATTTTATTTCAAGCCTAGTTTACGTAACTTACTTAAGTTCATCCTCAATGGTTTTGCAGTTGTTAAGTCTCTTAGACCACTCATCTTACTGACAGTTTCGTTGGCTGTTTGACCAATGATTGTAAGTCTAAGAGGTAAACAGAACATCAACCAACTGTAAGCTGCATATCGTTCTTCATGAGTGATACTAGCAATGATGAAGCTAAGCTGGTTCACGTTCTGTAAACTAATGAGTTATTTCGATTATCACTAGTACTGCTATTATGGATAACTACAGATGTTGCTTATAGGTCTGATTTTCAGTTGCATTTGAATTAGCGCTGTCAGAAATATGAAAATAAAGGTTTACTGTTTCTACCACATAGACTTACTAATTACAACAGAATACAGTGAAATATTGTGTACTGAACTTTTGGCACAATATCCAATATCACATAAATGTTTTCAATGAAAAGCGTTAGCGTCGACTGTATGTGGAATACCACTGTTGTATCAAAGATATAATCGATTTCACCAGTGTATTGTATTCATCTGCAGCATTTGGAATGTTTACATCAATTTATGCACAGTGTTGTACAGATGTCTTTGAGTCCTTTTGTTTAATGATTCTACTGACATTAATGCTTTAATCTGACTGTATGAAGTACTTGAAGGGTATAATCAACTTTATAAAACTCTAATCGCAGGAAAATTCAGATACTGAGCAGTAAATTAAACCGCTTGTGGAAATGGAATCTGACTACTGACTGGATTGAGCTCTGAAAATATACCTCTATCCATAGTTATATACTACTTACAATTAGACAAAACTGTTCTAGTCGAACAGATACCAGTGGATGTACTTCTGCCCTATGAAGACATAAGATTATTCTCATCAATCGGCTAAAATTAATCCCTTGACAAACTAAAGTAGAAAACAACTGTCCAAAATGTACTAAAGTTAAAGCTACAGTTACCCAGATGTGAAACTCCATCTTGGTTACCCTACCCTATAACAGCATCAAGAAACAAACATTTGATGGGATTTAAGGTGTTACCAGCGGCTCCAAATAACTAATCCTTTGTCAGGTAGTTTGAACGACTCCGCTTTATGAGCTGTAAATTTTCAGGCATAACACTGATAAGCTCGACTTTGAAATGGTTGAAATGGTGGTCTGATATTTAGCCAAATACGACCTTTATCATAATATACAGCGAATAAGAAATGTATTCAAGGATAAATTTGTGTAAAAGCATTTGAGCATGACATTATACAATGTCTGTTTAAGTTATCATGCTTCAAAAACAGCAAGAGAAGATTAACCAACAGTAAATGGGTAACAGCAGTTGGGGTTAATTGAAAGAACAATTATGGGAAAAAATGGGATAGAAAAGTGTAGAATCGACATGATAGATAGTGAAGGCATCTTTCTAGAGCAAAAATTAAAGCTTACAGTTAACGAAAACCGTAGTTACGTTATTAAGTAGCATCTTGAAGCTGCATATAAAGTCGTATCATAGCACTATAATTAGAATAGTGGGTCCTTGAATGGTAACTAAAGGCATACTGTTTATCGTCAAGTGCTGACCAATTTTCACAGGTTAACTTCTTCAGTGTGGTCAATAAGCTTAGGGATTCGACGCTGTGTTGCGCTGCACTTCATAATGAATATAAAGATTTTCAGTTAGGTTTTGCTTTTATTGGAAGTCACCAGTAAGGTGTATCATTACAAAATTTGGTAAAATAATTCTGCCCACGTTTAACACTAGTGACCCGCCTTTGTACTTAGTCCCATTTTACAAGAGTTCAATAGTGAGCAAAAAATGTCTCTGATTAAAATGGAAGGTGAAGTAGAGTAGAGTAACTGTGGGGTAATTGAACCCAGAACCAGCAGATCAGGTTTAACGATAGGTTACATCAAACATCAAACCTAAATTTATTGTTCCCTGTTGAATGCAGTCAACCATCTTATCATGAAGTTAACTGCTATACTTTTTAAATTAAATTCGTCCAAATGTTAGTGAATAGAAGCAAAAGCAGTAATCATTACTGATAGTTTCGACAGGAGAAATCTTTTGTACACTAAGATCACGAAGTTTTTAATATTATTATGAATCATGCTAGCTTTAAATGAGGTTTGAATGGATATCTTTATTACTATCTTCACATTACATTCTGCAGTGACGTGAAATTAAATATATTCACTGTTCCATATGGGATTCACACATTATTCTCCATCATGTCAACATTCACTCACAATAATGATTACTGAACATCTTTTAATATACGGGTCATATAATGTTGACCCTATGCATACCAACACATATAAACAAACGTAGGTTTAAAAATCAAAGTTGAGTGAGGGTCACAAGTAAAAGACGATTCGTTTAAGTAAGATACTGTAAATTTGCGTAATCATCAGTTCTCTCTTTTTATCACGAAAGGATATAAAAGAAAGCTTTAAACAAGCATTAAAACCATGACTAAATTTTCATCAAGATAATGATGGCGATGATGATATAGGAGAAGATAATTACCGTGTATTGACTTTAATCTCTTCTCTTTCTTTCTATCTCCCCTCTCCCTGTTCATTCCCGCATCACTCCTTTTGCTTCTTTTAATCTTCTTTCTACGAGTTGACCTTATTTGACCCTTGGGGAAAAGTCTTAATACCTACCCTGTCTTTCTGAACAAAGTATGAATATAAAAATTACTGTGATGTTCTCTAATGTACACATATGCCTTTGTTACATACGTAAGAAAATTAGAGAAATAGTAATATTTGAAAGTTACACGTTGAATGTTATTCATATGGCATAATGATGATATTTTCATATTAATATAAGACAGTCTGTCAGCTGCAAGAGCAGGATACTTCGTGAGAACTCTCAAATCCAACTGAAATGGTTGGCCATTGTTTCATATTTGTCAAGAAATTTTTAGCTTAGGGTCGAAAATGCACTCGGAGATACTGAACCCGGAACTCTTTTTAACCGTCATAGACGAAGGTGAAGGGTATCACTAGGTAAATGTGCTAAGCTTATAAAAAAGTCAAAAATCAATTTTACATTATTCAGAAAGTAGAATAGAGAAAAGAATTTATTATCTTTTGACTATCTGAGGTAGCCATAGTTTGGCAGACTAGTATTTATACTGGGTAATGATTGAAGGTTCGAATCCAGCCCCGGTCCAGATTTCCATCTCACCTTTAATCACCACCCAGTATAAATAGTACAGATAGTCAGAAATAGATACAAATACAAGCACACCATCATTCCTCAAAAAGAGCATAAGTAACCTTCAAGATAATTCATTATTTCTAGGTTGGTTATCTCTTAAAACTGATAAGAGTTAGATAAAATAAGGCAGAGTGATTAACTGATTGAGTCTCATCAGTGACTTTACAAATGCAAATAAATGTGAACCGTGTCAATACTGATCTACCAAGTTTTAGCCATTGAGTCTGATCATGATGCATTCTGTTAGCCCTGATATTTCTGCTACAATAATATGTAGCAGGGAGTTCATCATCCAGTACTCACTTCGATTATTATTAGTTTGCACTCGAGTATTATCAACTTGTCATTTAAAATTGCCTTTATGACTCGTAAGTGTTTACAACTCATTTTTTTTCGCGTAATATTGATTGAATGAATGCAATGTATTTAACGTGAAAAACAATCATTTTCTGTACAGCGGAATGATACAATCAACAAAAATCAAGTTTTATTTTCATCCTAACTTTTCCCGGTTATTCTTCAGGCTGTTGTATATAAATATATATATACTCTTGTTTGGCATTTACTGAAATCCTTTACACATTTATGCACAATAAAACCATAGCTTCAACACTGTACATTAAGGTGTGCATTTTTCTCTGTGTTTGTGAGTAGGTGAGTAACTTTTAAGAATTGTAGAAAGAAAAATGTAGCAATTTATACTGCAAAAGTATCATTTCAAAGCGTTCGAGTAAACAACCACTTTAAGAGTGTTTACTGGTTAAAATGATGCTAATCCTCATTCTGTTTCATCTTGCTTTTATTATTATTATTAGTCCCTTGGGTTCCTAGTGGAACATAGGGCTTCAGTAGCACGCCTCCAGTGACCTCTGTTCTCCGAGATCTTTTGAACCTGGTTCCACGACAGCCCACAACCTCTCATTTCCTCCTCGCATGACCTCCTCCATGTCACCCTCGGACGTCCAACTCGTCGCTTCCCATGGGGATTCCACTCGAGGGCCTGACGCGTGATGTCCTCAGTCGGCCTTCTCAGTGCATGGCCAATCCATCTCCACTTCTTCCTGCATATTTGTTGCGTGATAGGTTCTTGGTTGGTTCGTTCCCAGAGTTCCTTGTTGCTTATTTTTTCTGGCCATCTGATCTTCAGCAGCGAGCGTAAGCAGTTGTTGATGAATGTCTGTAGTTTATTGGAAATCCCTTTCGTGACGCGCCAAGTCTCTGAGCCATACAAGAGCACTGACTTGACGTTGGTGTTGAAAATCCGTATCTTGTTCCACATGCTGAGTGCAGAAGATCCCCACACTGGTTTCAGGCTAATGAACGCCTGTCTTGCTTTTCCAATTCTGACTTTGACGTCCTCGTCCGTCCCGCCTGTAGTTGAAACAGTGCTTCCTAGATAAGTGAAGGAGGTTACTTCCTTCAAGTTTCTCCCGTTGACGGTGATTGGAGTTTGTTGTTGTTGTTGATGTTGGTGGTGCGGTATCTTCATCACTTCTGTCTTCTCTATATTCACCTGAAGTCCCGTCTTAGCTGCCTCTTCTGTCAACTTGTTAGTTTTTGCCTGCAGATCTTCAAGTTTATGTGACATTAGGCATAAGTCATCGGCGAAATCCAAGTCTTCTAGGTTCTTTTCCGTCGTCCAGTGTATCCCCCTCTTCTCGCTGCCTACTGTTTGCTGCATGATCCAGTCCACCACAATAAGGAATATCATGGGGGATAGTAGGCAACCTTGTTTCACTCCTGTCTTCACTTCAAAGGCATCACTGAGCTTCCCATTGTGGATTACTTGGCATGTGGCATCTTCATATAGTTGTTGAATGAGGCGGATAAAGGTTTGCGGTACTCCGTAGTATTGAAGCAGTTTCCAAATTACTTCTCGGTCGACGCTGTCAAAGGCCTTCTCAAAGTCGATGAAGTTGAGGTATAGA